GTGAGTTCAATTTTTAAGGTTTTAGCATTGAAGCAGTTGTATTTTTAAAGTTATGGGTTCAAACTTACCATTCATTGCAATTTTAATGAATTTTTACACATAAATTTTTATTCTGCAGTGAAAGTACTAGGTTCTGATGAACCCGAAACGAGCATACTCTACATCCCCTTGTTGCAATACCATAGAACTATAGCATCAAACAAATACAGAATATGTTATAGCTACCATAAAGAAGTTATTGGCATCTTGTGGTGGGTGGAATAGAAGAAAACAACAAGCATTAAACTCAAGGTATTGTCTATATTTGTGGCGACAGCTAAAAAACTACGAAATAGAATATTAATGAAATCTTCAATTGTCATCCATATTTTTTTTCGTTTTAGAACTTAAGAATGGTACGTACCTAACCTATATTGACTTACATGGCCGGTTTGGCCAAGCTTTTTTAGGTCAAAAATATTATTTTTTTTAAATTAAGGTGTTTGGTCAAACTTTTGAAAAGAAAAAATATATTTTTGGGAAGAAATTTTTAAGAAGTAGAAAACAATAGATTCTCTTCAAAAATATTTTTTTTGAAAAGCACTTTTAAAAATACACTTAGAAGCACTTTTTAAAACTTTGGTCAAACACTAATTGCTATTCAAAAGTACTTAAACTAAGCTAAACACAAATTGTTTCTCACCAGAAGTCATTTTTTTAAAAGCAATTTCGAGAAAAACACTTCTAAAAATAAATTGATTTTAGAAGCTTGACCAAACAGGCTATAAGCTACTATCTATAATTAGTTATGTCCGGTTCTAGTCCAAAAAGATAGTCCTTAATTTCAAATCGTGGTTGCGGATCTAACTTAGTGACCAACTATGCTGCTCAAATTCTTCAAAAATACTAGTTTTAGCATACGCGCGTTGCGCGTGTCCCTCGTGTTAATGAAAAATAAAATTTTATAAATAAAATAAATAATATTCAAAAATATGTTTATGTTATTATATAAAATTAAGAGTAGTTCTTCCTTAGGAGTTTGATCTAGTCTAATAGTTCTTCCTTCAGTTGTTTCTCTTGCTTGCTTTATTGTACAAAAAAAGTTATAGGAGTAGCGTTTGATTGAAAGGTAAAAAAGTCATTCAATTTTACTTGAGGACTTGGGTACATACATTGCATGTATATTTCATGTTACTTATTAAAAAATTTATGTAAGATAGTTTACCAACAATTAATTTTTTTTATCTTTACTCATTTTACGGTACTGCTAAAGCTGCAACCTCCTCATTTTACGGTACTGCTAAAGCTGCAACCTTATTCTATTGATAACTTAATAATCATATAGGCATCCGAACTCGATTATTATTAACAATTTTTATATTATTTTTTTGCTCAATTATTATCTTATTTTACCTATAATTTCTTTCTAAAGTACTTTTACTCGCGACCAATTACATATATATATATTCTTTTTCTATTCCTATTTTTGTGTACAAAATATATATTGATCAACTTATTCTACCATTTAAAATAATGTCACATTTAAAAACGATTATCATTTGATTATTTCTTAATATTTAGACAATAAAAATGGACAAAACTTGTAAGTATATTTCAAATTCTATGTCCTTATTGTTAAAAGAAAATAGAATGTCACAATTGCTTTTTAAAGTCTAAATTCATGCCACCTTAATATGAATTATCATTAATGTTTTCATTTTTTTAAAATCAAAACTATGACTTAAATGCACTATTTCTTACGTGCCTTTTTAAATATTAGGCATAAAATTGATGGATCAGTTATTTACTTTAATTTTATTTAAAACACACGTTACTTATTTTTTTCCACAGAATATATATCCATGAAAGCAACATGTAAGAATTATAATTATGTGACATATATAATTCAAATAAGGAAAATATTTAAGTTAGGTAAAGTTTTAATTGACTTTAATATCCTAAATTTTAGGGTTTCCTACCTAGTTCAATGGAAAATAATTTAATAACAAAAATTTTAGTCAATTTCAAAGAACTAAATATTAGGAGAATAATCAAATGACTATTTTGTCTAGTGTGAACTCCAATTTTAAAGGGTAAAAAAGATGAATGACATTTCGCTAAGAGCCTTCGTGCTTTTAATATAGTATAGATATAGATTATAGCACCTCTCATTCTCCAAAAACATACCACTTTTGAAGAATATGACACACAAATAACGATATTTTTAAAGAGCTCGAGCGACATAGGTGATCAGGTGTTAGTAGAAGTAATATAATTACACAAAAGTAGCTATAAAAATTAAAAGAAATTCACGGATAGAGCGTGAATTAATGAACGGTTTAATTTGGAAGAAGAGACCATAGTTCTCGTGAGGTTGGTGGGAGCATTTACAGTAACAGCACTATACATTCAGTACTGAAGAGGGAAGCTTTTGATTGGCCACATGAGACTAGAAAGTTCAGAGTTTATTTTTCAAACTTGATGTCAGTCTTAGTAATAAAGATTAAAAAGGATTGATCAATGAATTTAATGCAGCCTGCTATGCATGCGTGGCCAAGGTTCAATTTTTGAAATGTTTCGACGTGGTGCTGTTTTCAACTTTTAAAGGTCATACACGCACAACTTATAAAGTTTTGTACACTTCAAAAATATAATACGTGGCTAAAAAGTGCATGTTTTTAAGTATGTTTGTGCATTATTTTTTGTATGAGCTGCGGGAGTTCACACCACTTTTGATATCGGATAATTTACGTCACATAGCAAACACATACAATATATTTATCATTCGTAGCTATACTTTTAGAAAATTATCATTTGTAGCTGTACATTTGAATTTTATACAAATCCACATGTAGTATTGAAATATGATATCAATTATTTGAACTGAAATAAGAAAACAACAGCTCTTATAACTCAGTTGGTTAGAGCACTCGCATATTAGGTAGAAACCTTGAGTTCATCTCTGAATGATCTAGCTGATAATAATTAAATAGTAGTTATAAATGGTAATTAGGCAAACTATAATCTCATCGATTTTTTACTTGGAAAATTCCTCTATAACATATGCTCATTATGTGTTTCATATGGGTAAGAACGAACTTGCACGGAAAAAGCTGAAGAAAAAAGTCCTTGACAATGAAGCGACGTTTACTTTACCAGATCGGAATAGAGCACTTTCCACGAGGCATTAAGGGCTAACTACAAGAAAAATAACATTTCATTGAACCAATTATATTTTTAACCTAATAAGTGAAAAGAAGATGAAAGTGAAGCTTAGCGAGCTTTATAATGTGACCACTACATAAGTGGTTGGCAAAGAAAGCTCGAAAAGCTTCCTTACATTTTACTAAGCTAAGATCTCAGGTCTTCGAGTTAGCTCACTTTTTTTTTTGGATAAGATTATCCGTAAAATAACCTATTATATCTTTCTAAACGTCTCACTTCATTAACATTATACTAGTTGAAAAAGTAAAGAAATCTATTAAAGAAGAAAACATTCTCTTCCAACATTTTTTCTGTTCCTAAATACGAACCCAAAATCATTTAAGTGGAGAAATTCTATCCCTTAAATAATATATCTTGTACAAATTAAACCTGTGGCTGTGGTTGTGGACGTGACGAGGTAGGTTATCCACTGATCTTTAAGACACCCCATTTGCGAGGGAAAATATGGCGGTTAGGTTTGCCAATTTCATTTTGGGATTGTTACATAAATAGTTGATCAGATTTAATGTATACTTTTTTTAATCGATATACATAAATTATACATTAATTATACACAAATATACATATAAATTATACATATATTATACACCCGTCGACTATTTTTAATTTAGGAGATCAAGTGGGCGGTTATTTGGGTTAATTCTTCTTTCATTTTCTCATTATCATATTTTAAAATGATGATAATGAGATGATACTAAGATGATTTAATAAGGTACTAGTTGCCTTAAGTCAATCGGTACAAATCAATGAGACTTTCCTTCTTTATTGTGTACTACTACATGAGAAATCTCCTTTAATTTAAAGCAATAAAACCTTGCTTTTTTTATTTCTATTTTTTAAAATGGAATTTTGCCATGAATGCAATTTATGGCTGATTTCCTGTTTATTGATTTGGATGTTCCTTGTGTTTTTCTTTTAATGAAGCAAATCGAAATAACAAAAAAATGTTACTCCCTTGAGACACAATTTTGTAATCATTTTGACAAATTAAGTTTATCATAAATATTTGATGTTTTAGAAAAATAAAATATCATTTATTATTATTTTTTCTTCTGATCGTTCCTTAGTGTTTCAATTATATAAGTGTTAATTAAGTAAAATATTTAAGAAAGATAAAGGATACAAATAATATGGACAGTATAGAGTAACATTTTAATTAGTAGTTATTATTGTCGGACGTGTGTGCATATTGTATGGGTCCAAATTTGAACAACCACGACCATCGACGAGTACGACGAAACGGCGAGTTTTTCATAACCTGACGCCCTGCGGAGGACGACCTTAAGACAAACAAGAGATTGTACGACCCTTGTAATAATATAGGCCCGTTACGGGATACTAAGAATATTTCTTCGAATATTCCTTATAATTTGTCTTTTATAGTTAGAGGAGACTCACTCCTTATATATGAAGAATAACTTTGTAAAGGGGAGATGGATAATATTTGCTATATTTCTACTTATGAATGAGAAGTTTTCTTAAAAGAATTTTACTGATTTAGATTGATAAAGAAGTTTTACTATCCGTCTTCTCCTTACTCATCTTTCAATCTAGAGATTATTATACTTAGTTAAGATTTACCCTTTTATTTTTGATTGATTTGTTCATAAAGATTTAAATATCTTTTGAGTCAAACAAATGGGAAGAACACATGGTAATTGTGCAAGAAGCAAAAAGCGATGTATTCTCGAATTCGTTCCAGCGTGAACAATTTTTATTGACAGGTGTACGTCTATCTATCCCTTTCTAAACACTTGTACTACTGTTATTAACACGTGTATTTCTGTGTCTCCCACTAACTGGACGAATGGTTAATTCCATCTCCTACTTCTGTCCCTTCCTTTCTCAATTCTCACTTACGCTCCTCTGCTGCTAAAGTCTGTTCCCAAAATTGCTGGATCCTCCCACAACTTTGTGTCACTTTAGAGACAAACAATAAAAACAAATGGTTCTGTATAAGGACTACAAACGTGGAGGTAACCGTGTTGCTCCAATCGAAAATATATTCAAGCACGAGTTGAATGGAGTTGGTTTTGGAGCTCGAGACCACTGGTATGCTCCAAGTGATTGAGGCTTCTCATCTCCAAGGTACCACATAAGGTTGGGTTTGATTGCCTTTGTCTTCTCAGTTATGGGTGAATGACTTTGTTTGTTTTGATTTTTCTTTTTGTTTGGTAGCTTAGCCATTGTTGCTTCTACTGCTATGCTCTTTTTTATGATTTCATTTGAATTTTTTCTTTTCTTGCTTGGTATATTGGCAAATGTTGCACATCCATGCAGCGATGTCTCTGGTGTGTGCTTTTTTATGTATTCGTGCTTCCATTGATGTTCTCTGTTATTGCTAATGTGGTTTTGGTGGCATCTGACAGTTTCTATGTTCTTTCGAATAGTCTTATTGGATTTTCACATTCATTTGGATTGCTTTATTCGATTTATACGCTGATGTACGTACCGAGAGGTATTTGATAACATGTCTAAATGAATTGACCGCATATGGAGGAACTATCTGCGATCTTTTCCCCTTTTCAATAGTGGTGTAAATTCAGATTTTATAAAAAAATAAATATGCTTCTAATTATCTTATATGCCTCTGAATGACATTTTGAAAATTTAAATTGGAAAATTATGTTTATATTCTTCATGAATGCTGTGCTTGGGTAAGAGACAACCATTGAAAATAATTTCATACAAATCCCTTTGATTTAATTGGTACTTCTTTCACAAATCTATCTGAAATAGCTCCGTCTCCAAGCAAAATTAAAGTGTCTGTGGCTAAAGCATATACATCAAGAGAACATTAGCAGGCCATGCCATCTAAAAATGATTACTTTTTACATGATACTCAAGGAAAACAAACTGCAGACACTTTACAAAACTACCTAAATACAAAAGCTTAAGTGAAAAACAAAAAACATATCCAAATATCAACATCACTTTACATGTGTTGATAAACTCTTCATGATGTCCCTCTTTAGCAAAAAGATGATGAAAATGTAAATCAACTGAATTCTAAATTTTTATTTAAAAGTTGTAGGAACCCAAATGATTGAAAAAAGGGAAAAAAGAAAAAGGGTAAAAATAAAATAGAAAGTACTCTTAAAGTAAATTGAGCCGGAAATCCGTGAGGTTCTTTTCTGTTATGAATTGAGATTTATTACACTTTCCATCCCAAAGTTATATGAGATTTTTCAGACTGTTGAATACATTTAAACAATGTAATCAAGCAAAATATTTGGGATTTTGTTCTTTGATTATCTGTTAGCAATTATATCCGCTTGCTTTCGTTACCTTATGCTCCACTATTGATTGTTGTATGAAGGTTTATGTGAGTCTTGAAATGTAACCCACTAAATGATTGTATATTTCATATGAACTTTGGTAGGAAGATATCCATACTCATTAACTCTAAACTCATTGTTTGGTGTGTGGAGGCTTTACCGTTCACATATTATGATGTCCTTCTTCATTAGTAAAGATCAATATTTACTTTGTTCTATTCCACTATGCATTCATGACCTTATTCAGATTGACATATCGTATATATGCTTCATAAGTATTGCCATTTCTGATGATCATGCCTCCATTTAAGATATAATAATATACTATCTTTCAATAAATGGAAGTTGAAATCAGTCCCGCAAGTAAGGTTTTACATTTGAATGAAAACTTGAACATGAGGTCCAACTCTCTATTTTTGGTATTCATTTAATGCTACTGGAATCTGCTCTATGGGTAAAAAAGAGAGAAGAAAAATTAATATTAGCAGAGCACTTGAGAATTATTTTTTGTTCACTTAGAAAACACTGGTGACATCTTATTTTCTCAATAGTTTGGTCAGTTAGATACACATGTAGCTGTAATGCATTTGCATTGTATTCTAAGATCGTCTTATTTTTTTCCCATGTCGTTCTGGTAGTTTTTCCTGTGGACTGTACCTTCAATTCACCATGGGTTGGTTGGCATGTGTATTTGGTCGAACAAGGTTCGAATATGTGACATCTTACATCTAAATCTAAGAGCCATCCCTTAGGGCTTTCTCACTAGATCTTATCCTTGCAAGGCTATTAGACTTCTGATCCAACTAACCGGAAAAAGCATGGCAGGTATGTCACCGACTTTCAAGGGCTGAAGGTTGATAATTTGAAAATGAAGTGCTTTAATTTCATGCATATTTTCAGTGTTAAATACTTCTGATTAAGGATTCATTAGTCTATCATACAATCTTTTGAATAGTCTCACAATACAAATACAAAGACACGTAATAGTTACCAGAAGAATTCTTTTTTTGGGGGGTTATATTTTTTTTAGATGAATTTTTCTCTGGAGTCCTTTGTATAGACAAAAATATGTCCCTTAATGAACCGTACACCTATAGCTTGTGATAATTCTGTTTTCTCATTTCCAGCTACAGGTTTTGGCATTGCCACTATGCATATACCCTTTTTCGAAAGTTTTACATGGCTATTTATATGAAAGGCTGGTTATGTCTCTCTTGCGCATTGTAATCTTATGATTGCTTTGTTAGTCCTACAATGAATAGATTACAAATCTTCCTAATATTTGATAATACTAGCTTGACTCTTAAAATTTACCTTCAGACTAACTTTATCCTTGTGCTTTGTGGTCAGAGCTATAGGATTGGTTGGGATTATGTAATTTTTGCATTGATTTCTAATTGAGGATGTTGGAATTTGCGTAAATAAGCAAGAACTTTATAATCAAACTTGGAATATAGTATAACTTGCAGTAAAAACTGATACAACTTGATCTTGTGAAGGGATGCTAGATAACTTTTTCATATGGTAAGAACTACAGAGCTATATGTTAAATTGCACTTACAGTGTAATTTCACAATAGAGCGATGTATGTCAAGGACAAAGGATGGAGAAAAGGAAGAAAAAGACTCTGCCCGATGTGCATCATGTGGATTATATGGCTGGAAAAAAATAATAGATAGTTTGAAGGAAAGAAATTACATTCTTACAATTATATTGTAAAACATAGGTGTTTACAAACACTATATTCATGGTGTAGGAGTAGTCGTCTGGAAAACACAACCTTTCTTTTGAAAAGTCCATGATGTGACGATGGAGAGTCCAAAACCAAAATGACAACTTTTTGGACTCAAACAATTTTCTACAATTTTTTTTTAAAAAGTTACTTTTCTACCTAAAATGACGTATTATATTGCGTTTTACTTTAACGGTTAAAGTAAAACCCAGTATAATACTGCGTTTTACATTAAACACGCATCTTGTAAAAACATTAAACGCGCATCTTGTAAACCGCAGTATAATACTGAGTTTTACATTAAGGTCCATCTTGTAAAACGCAGTATTATCATCCCAAAGACGGCTCGCGAATTGTACAGCGGGTAAAAGCCTTGGTGTTATTCCTCTGTCTTTTTCATTTCTCAAGGTCCCCCCCTCCCCCTCCCCATGCATTCATGCTTAGATTTTTCTTTTTCTTTTTATATCTTCTCTTACGAATTTTAAGGTACTCTTATTTGTTTTCCCACTGTCGCTTTCTCTACATCATTTAGATAATAAAATTACAAAACTATAAGTATAGAGTATTTTGTTANATACTTTCATGCTTAGATTTTTCTTTTCCTTTTTATATCTTCTTTTACGAATTTTAAGGTACTCTTATTTGTTTTTCCAATGTCGCTTTCTCTACATCATTTAGATAATAAAATTACAAAACTATAAGTATAGAGTATTTTGTTATTCAATTTTCTCACATTATTAATAATTTCAAATTATTAATTAATAATACTGAAATTATTAATAATGTCATTCTTTTGCAACAGGTTAATTAATAAGGAAAGAGTGACATATAAAATAGAATAGATGAAGAATTATTTAGGAGTTATATTCAATTTCACAAATGTGAAGATTTTATTTTGGTGTATGTGTGTGCCTATTTTAGTGTATTATTCGTCTATTAAAATTTGGACATGCATGAAAAATGGTTTTGCTTAATGGTAAGTATGATATAGCCATTTAAGTAGTCAAGTTGTTGGGATTGAAAGGAAGAATTTAGTTCTATAAATTGATAGTATAAGGAATTTTTACTTCATCAAATCTTTTCTGCCAAACGTTAACCAAATTCTTGGGAGGGAGCGCTTCCCCCCGAAAACAAATTTAGTCGGGCACCAATAAGGATACTGGACAGCGGGTCGGAAATAAAAATAAAAAAATCTTTTCTGCTAATTTCACATGGTGCCGTACTTAGACATTTTTTTTCTTTCTTGATCAGGTGCTTGGTTTATGCACTGCCATTTCGAGCGTCACATAAGCTGGGGAATGGATATGGCATTCATTGTTTAGGATGGAAAAGGCTTGGATCAGAAACTTCTGCCTCCACCTCCAGATATGCCCAAGTGTTGATTCGATTAATCTTAGAATATATAAAACTTATTAATTTTGAGAGTCCCTAAAAACATTAATTCTTCAGTGATTTAATTTATTTGTTTGTTGTATAACGTATCTTTGGATTATCTATGATTTTGCTTTTACAATGTTTACTAAATGTATAATGGGTCATGAATAAATGAAAGTCTTGTTACTTTTATGAATTTTCTTGAAGAAGGTTCACGTGAATTTAGTGATAATTAATTTTGAAAAACCACCACTGATTATTAACATTGCCTCATTAGTAAAAATCAAGTCACTAAATCAAAATACATCTTGGTTGTAAGCTAGTAAGAAGATGAATAAAATCTCCCATTTTAAGTTAATAAGATTGAGCAGTGAAATGTAATTTTATTATCTAAATGATGTAGAGAAAGCGACAGTGGAAAAACAAATAAGAGTACCTTAAAATTCGTAAAAGAAGATATAAAAAGGAAAAGAAAAATCTAAGCATGAAAGTATAGGTGGGGGAGGGGGGACCTTGAGAAATGAAAAAGACAGGAATAGCACCAAGGCTTTTACCCGCTGTATAATTCGTTTTACAAGATGCTTGTTTTCTTCCATTCTTTGGGACCAAGCATGCATGATGTAAAAACTTTACCGGCTAAAATTCCGTTAAAGTAAAATGCAGTATAATAATGCGTTTTAGGTAAAAAAATATATTTTTAAAAAAAATTGTAGAAACATATTTTGAGTCCAAAAAGTTGTCATTTTGGTTTCGGACTCTAATGGTTCAGTTGGCTACATCTTTTGTACTTTCGATGTACCTCCTTAGAGGTAACTAATCATCAATAAATTACTTTACTGTATTAAAAATAAATAAAAATGGAGCGATATATGTGCACGCGCACTCTGGCACAGAAGACATACTCATGGAGTGAAAATCAAGATATTAAAGGCATTGGTTTCACTTATGCATTTCTCATATAGTGTTGATAGTTATGAGCTTCAGCCCTTCCTCCTCTGGCATATTGTGATAGTTAGGAGTTTTATCCTTTCTCGGTGTATGTATTTGGGAAAAATTGCATTTATATATGCAAGTGACATGTTGAGACACATGGACTGGTCAAATAGTCAAAGAATTATAATTAGTCAAGAGGCATGGGCAGCAGTAGAAACGAGCAAAGGCAAAGGAAAAGGCACGGGAGGACATTTGAAGGATTCAGCGCCCGTATCTATTTAAATCATTTATCAAAAGGAACGGATTTGACCATAATAAAGAGCGCAGATACGGAATTCGACAGGCATTAAATACTGGATACGTTAGAGAATTTGTATTGATTACAATGATTGTGTAACGTAGCATTCAATATCTTTAATTATTCATAATAACCTCATTATGATTTGGAGGAAACGCATATCTTCAAGATACCTATAAAAGGGAGGTATCTGGTCACTTGTAAAGACAAGATACAATTGGAATATACTTTGATTCACTTGTTTTTCTCCTGAAATACACTCTGGTTACTCCAAATTACTCTCTTCTACATATTCTTTTGATTATCAGTAACCCGCGTTCTTCTAAATTCTAGCTTTGACTGAAATTCTATCTTTTAGTTAATCAAATTGGTTCCGTTACCGGGAATCTGATAATCTATTTTCTTTTCACTTGACCTTCCTTGTTACATCAATTATGTCGAATAACAATGACAACACCCCAGGAAACCAAGAGAACCAACAAAGTCAGGGAGGCCCACAGAATATTAACATGAAAGTTCCAACTCCGTAGGACTCTCCACGACAATCTCGTGAGGGTACTCCTGATGGATCTCAAATAAACGAGTATGCTCAATTTGAAAATGCTGAAGCTGTTGATGAAGCTTTGCAGAAATTAATTACTGCTCAGGTCAACAAAGTTGTTGAGGCGCTTGTTAACCAGTTACCTGTTGCAACACCCACACATTCTCCAAATATTAACACTATAGAAAACCCTCGTTCCGGGCTTGTTAACTCAGGCAAAAGTGGAACTCCCAGTAAACCGCAAGAGAGAGAACCAAGTAATGTAATTAATTCTGATTTACAAAATTTAGTACTAACCTTGCAGAGACAGCTCAAGGAGCAAAGTGAACGCATAGAGAAGATACCCGCGGTGCCGCCCATAATCAAAGGGGTAGACATGAACAGATATTCGCAACAACCCCGGAAGCCAAGTGCTGCCCCACTCCCAATTCCAAAAAAGTTCAAAATGTCTGATATTCCAAAGTATGATGGAACAACAGACCCACGAGACCACGTGACTGCATTCACAACGGGCGTAAAAGGCAATGATTTGACTAAGCAGGAGATCGAATTGGTATTAGTCAAGAACTTTGGTGAAACACTCACCAAAGGAGCACTAACATGGTATTCCCTTTTACCTGAAAATTCTATA